CTGTTCATAGTGAAAACGGAGTTAGAAGTCCCTTCTATAGTATATTTTAGATAATATCATTACATTGAATAAAGTTAACTCCATTTTCCACAGAAAATAGGTCTATATACATCATCCATGCTTTGTGAAAAGGGGGGGGGGTGTCATGGCGTATAAATTAACAATACATTTGTGCTCTCCTTCCCTAGATAAGGCCCGAGGAGTGGGACCGAAAAGTTGCGATTGGCAGAAAACCCACATACATGAACCATTCTGTTAACAACTCTTCAGAATGCAGCAAAGGCACAAGTTAAATGATTATTTTTACAAGGTTCTCAAATAAAAAGACATATTTCAAACACAAACAAGAGGCCCAGGGGACACATTGCTCACCTGAGCAATTGGCTAGGAAAAAGCACACATCAGATCAGAACTGAAAGTTTACTGAGGATTGGGGCTTGAATTTTAACCCCCAGGGGATCATGATTTGAACAAAGCTTGAATCCACACTACCTAAAGATGATTCCCTTTAAATAACACTAAGCACTGCTCTCAAGTACTAGAAAAGAAGACTTTAGAAGGTTTCCCTAAATATTCCTATGTAAAACTTTTATCGGCCATTTGGCCCCACCCTATGATTTGAACAAACTTGAATCTACACTACCTGAGGATGATTTCAAATGAGTTTCATCTTTCCTGGCCCAGTGGTTCTTGAGAAGATTTTTCATATATATTCCTATGTAAAACTTTTGGCTCCATCCTACACCTGGGGTTCATGATTTGAACAAACTTGAATCTACACTACCTAAGGATGATTTCATATGATCGTCATCTTTCCTGGCCCAGTGGTTCTTGAGAAGAAAATTTTTAAAGATTTTTCCTATATATGTAAAACTTTGATCGGCCATTTTGGCCCCACCCTACCTCCGGGGGTCATGATTTGAACAAACTTGAATCTACACTACCTGAGGATGATTCCACATGAGTTTCATCTTTTCTGGCCCAGTGGTTCTTAAGAAGAACATTTTTAAAGATTTTTCCTATATATTCCTATGTAAAACTTTGATCGGCCATTTTTGCCCCACCCTACCCCTGGGGGTCATGATTTGAACAAACTTGAATCTACACTACCTGAGGATGATTCCACATGTGTTTCATCTTTTCTGGCCCAGTGGTTCATGAGAAGATTTTTTTAAAATGCCATTATTTTTTCTATAATTCATTATTATCTCCCCTTGGAAAAGGGCGTGGCCCTTCAAATGAACAAACTTGAATCCCCTTTACCCAAGGCTACTGTAGCAAGTTTGGTTGAAATTGGCCCAGTGGTTATTGAGAAGAAGATGAAAATGTGAAAAGTTTACGACAACGACGCCAACGACTACGACAACGACAGACAACGGACAAATTTTGATCAGAAAAGCTCACTTGAGCCTTTGGCTCAGGTGAGCTAAAAAGTATTGCTCAAAAGTTTATCACTTCTCTTACAGATATTGATTGATTACGTCAGGCAAACTTTTTGAAAAGCTGTTACTTGTATGAATATAAAAATACGTCTGGTAATAACGGGATGCAATTTGTACCCATGGTCTAATTATTCTAGATTCCTTATTATACATGAGGAATTAATTATTGCGTAATCAAGCATCACTAGGGAAATATAATTACTTGTTTCTATTTTCATGATGCTGAAATCCATGTTTATTCTAATTATCAACCGTCCATTCACGAATTATTGTTCTCAGGATTTGACGTGAAAATCGTGAAAAATCGCGATAATAAGTTATCGCAAAAATAGGGAATCTACAGTATTTCTATATATATTTTCTATTCCCCCCTTATTTTTCGACAATCACTGGGTCGATGTTTTCATACAATTTATTTTCTTCATACAATATACATAGATCCTTCAGAATATTTTATAGAAATTGGTCGCATTTACACAAAACAAAAACTGAAGACGAAAGTGGGCACTCAGTATACACTGTCGAGGCTATCATATAATCTCAATATCGATTTCATCAGGTTTTTTGTATATTTTATACAAAATGAAGTTGTTCAAATCCAATTAAAGAAAATACAGCTAAAACTAGATTCTTAACATTGTGCAAAACCAGATCATGATTAAAATAATATTCTAAGTGAGAAATTCATGTACAAGTTACAATATTAATTCCAAGTCTTAAACAAATCAAGCCAATTATACATATTTAATGTTTCTCATATATTTTTATAAGCGGGAGTGGTATTGGGCGTAGGTTGAATAAGGACTTAAGATGTACGGGGGTACATAGACATAATATATTCAATGTTCTTGAAAATTGTGAATTCTTAAATATATATCTCATACTGATAATATTGGGGCGATTTATATATAATGGTCGATAAAGTCTGTCGGCGCACGAAATCCAGAATAATTTACACATATCACTATTACATTTGCTTTTATTCCTTTGGTACGATGTAAAAAAAAAATAAACTCAAATTTAAATCAGTGAAAATATAATTAAAGTCTTAATAGCATGTCAAAAAAGAAGGTATGGTTTTCATACAAAGTTTGCCCTGTGATTTTTTAAAAGATGAAACTGGTGTAAAAGTTGAAAACTCATGCTTTTTAAATAATTGAAATTCAATGCAGAAAAATCATACAAGTCATTTTTCTCAGATGTGTTTTTAAATGCTGATTATGACGTCATAAACATGTGCATTTTCCCGTATTTTCTTAAAAAATTGCAGAAGACACAAATTTCAATGGAATTTTCTTTCAGATAACATTGTCCACAGGCATCGCCCACAAAGATCTTGAGATATGTGATTTGTTATTGACTTTTGCACAATATATCAAAAAATTAACGTGGGCGACGGCTGTGGACACTGTTTTCTAAAGGAAAATCACCCTTGAAATGTGCCATTTTGAGGCTTTTTCTGTTGAAAATAGAGAAATGCTTCATATTAATGACGTCATATTTGCAGAATGGTAAACATTCATGCCATATTCTTTCCTGATTTATCAGAGACATTTATTTAACTAATATTTAAGCCAGTTTCAAAACTTTTTGATGTCATTACATTTTTAGGGCGCAAAAAAGCTAAAACCATACCTTCTCCTTTCTATATAAATAGCATAAGCAACAGATGATTTGTGTCAGGATTTATAAAGTGTTACTGGAATCGAGTTTGATGAAAATGGCGTCGTTAAACGCTTATCAGGCGCACAAAGATGTAATAAATTGTAACGAATACAGTTTATTACATCAAAGACGGGAAAAAAGTACTTAAGTTACAGTACATACTTGATTCTTAGAGATATGTTTTAAATGGTATGACATTCAATGATAGTTATTCCTATATACGGAAAATAATTGCAGCATGTGAAAAAAAAAAATGTTTGTTTAATATACGCATTCGGGAATGTTCTGGGTCACGAACTACGACAAAGTATGGGTATTCTCTGGTGCATACAATATAACTTAATCTGTTGGCTAATTTCTAAATTTGACCGATTGAAAATTAAATCTTCTAAAAAAAAACGGACAGTATTCAATTAAAATAAGTCCCTTAGTCAAAAGTGGGTTTTCACTTTAAAGGGTATATGCAATGCCCACTGTAATAATTTCTGTTTGTTACGATCGCCACAAAATGACCACAGCAAAAAACCGCATCGAAATCCGCGCGGTATTAACAGAGTTATTCCGCTTGTAAAATGTCTATTTTTACCTGCACCAGAAATCTAATTAAGAGAAAATAGAAACAGTCGAAAACGAGGCTCTGTTGTTGTGACGTCACTACGAGGACGATGGCGGCGAATACGGATAGCGATTCTAGCGTTTATAGTGAAGAAAACAGCGATGGGGAGGTTGGTTCATCAAGTTTTGAGGAACCGATCGATGAGATGACCAATTTGGGCACACAACCGTATCTTTTTGAGCCTGAAGCGAGTTCAGACGAGGAATCAGCGGCAGGAAGTTCCCCGGAAGCCACAGATCAAGATCGACTTGGGAACAATGACTGGTAGTTATCTATCCTATATTTGTTACTAATGGGCTTTTATTTTATTATTTAAATTGTTGAAGTAAGGCTATATGTTCATGATCAATTATAGATATAAATATCCTGTTATGTTTACTACGATAACTGTATATATTCATTGAATCTAGGTGTGCGGTTTGATTTTACATGGCTTCCTACAGAAGTCTAGCAATTATATCGCTAAATATTAAAAGGGGCCTATGGAAACTATTCATCCGATAAAATTAAAGTATCTAAGGATAGTGAACTTTTCATTAGAATATTTTATCATGGTTTCTAACTTGTAAAAATCACAAATTCCTATTGTACATAGCATACACGTATACATCAGAGCTCTGTTCTGGCAGCCCTCTGTTTTACACAAACTAAAATAAGAACACCTTTTTCTTACATTCAATTTGAATTTTGTAATGCAACATGTCTTTCAGAATTAAAAAATATTTATTGAATTTTAAATGGATAATTTATTGTACCAGTTATCACAAATTTTGGTCAAGGTTTTTGTAAGCAAATTCTTTTGAGAACATGTCAGTTGTTACAAGTATGGTATGTTTACCCCCACCCCAAAGTTCATGACTGAACTAACTTTGATTAACATATTCAGATCACAAGTAATTTATTATTTCAAAGTTGAAACATTTCACTCTCCTATTAGAATTACAGACTGATATCTTTTTAGGTGCAACTGTGGTCGCTGCCCCCCAATGACTACTATTGCCGAGTCTGTGTGCTGCCAGGAAATTCCTCAAGTAATGACTGTACTTGAGGAGGATCCCGGGAAGCCATGCATCACAGAGCATAATGGTTTCCAACCAGTCTGTCTCCATCCATCAGTTCTACGTACTGCATACTATGTGTATCGACAACAATATGAAGAACTCCCCGAAACCAATCGGTTAGTGTCATTGTCATTTGAAATGCAGATTATAATTTGAATATTGTTCACTACAAAAATATATAGATTTTTAAATTGATTGAAGACAAAAAATGAAGTCAGGTTTCATCAGTTCAAGAATTTTTAATGAATGAGACAACATTAAAATATATAAACAATATTCCATGAGATCAAGAGTAAAATCTTTATATATAGATGTATATCATGCCTGCATGAATTGTAGATTCCATAGATCAAAAACCGATTTGCATATACATGTATATCAAACAAAGTACCATTAAAGGTCAAAACGAAACATACAAAATTCACAACTTGTAAGTTATGCAAGAACAAAACAATAACAAAGAAATAATTCAACACCCCCTACAAGTTTTACATAAGTAAAAAGTCAAAAACAATGCAAGAATAATATATCTTAATCTATAGCCAAAAGGCAAGTACTTGACCTTGAATGAACAGCAAAATTAATCAAAAACTAAGGTTTAACTGAAAAAGCATACACAAAACAAACAAACAGACAAGATAACAAAAATAAAAATAATTTTTTAAAAAATCATAACAACAGACATCAACAATATGAAATAACTGAAAATTCATAAACAAAACTGACAAGACGACAATAGTCTATAAAAAAAGTAGTCAAAACAGGGAATAAAAAATTAACTTAAAATGCATAAACAACAACAGTAAAAGTCAATAACAATCTTTAACATACATATGCCCTAACACACTTAGATATAATTACAAAAATATAATGAAAGGAATAGTGGATTTTTTTCATTAAAAATGTTTTAATCTTGTAATATTTTACAGGTGAATGCGTTACATAGGCTACAGGCAACTGGCCAGATGGTGCTGGGGATGGTTGGGGAGACAAGTACGGGTACCACTTCCTGCTTGTGCAGTCCAGAAAATCCGGGACACGTATCCAGAGGAAGATGGTGTATACCAAGGATTCGGCATGGCCTAATTCCTACGGAACCTTGTAAGCAGCTGACCCACCGCATCGTCTTTCTCGGGGTGTACATACTGGTCGCACAGTGGCGGTGGTGCAACTCCAGGGTCCCCACACTGTGGCATCTTCATGTTGCTGGCCCTTGTCTTAGCAGCATTTGTCAGAACATTGACATACTCTGAAAAAGAATTGATGTCCATTCAGTCTAAATGACCATATTTTAAACCTAAATATCTGTATGTATATATTTATCTCTGATATTACAATGAAGATATAAAATAAATTTACCATAAGTACTTTGCGTCTTGACCTTCTTCACAGTGTAGTCCCCCTGTTTGTGCTTTGGAAATACAATGCTGTATTGAAGATTCCCCTCTCTTGTTGCTGCCTGATCCTTACTGGAATTCTCATTGAAGTGAAGTGCTGCTAAGGCCAAGCTATAATTGAAAACAATTTGTTTAATAATTTATTTATGTAAATCATATTATCATAAATCATATTATTTCCCGTATGTCACTGTCTCTTTATAATGACTGTGTACAGTAGGAAATATAAATGGTAAAAGTATTCTTCAATAAGCAAGACAAACATACCGACTTTGCATTCCAAAGTAGGAGAACTTATACATCTTGGGCGCAAACTGATTGATTACTGAATGGAATGCCTCTACACTGGAGGTTTGAAATGATGATGAGAGCATGGGGATGTCCTTCTTCATCTGCCTGCTATTGACAATCGCTTCTAATTTCTCCATCACTTTGGTTCCTGAAAGATACAAAAATGTTTTAATTCTAAAAATTTTGAAATTTAAAATATGAAAAAAAAATTGGTATTTTTATTTTAATTTTATACATGTCGCACTAAGTCATCCCCCCAATTTAATTTTGTTCCATTATAGTAAATGTAGGAACTTGCATGATTGTATAAGGGATCTTACCTGGTCTTAACCACCTTTTCCGTCTAGATGCTGGGTCAAGGTCCCCATGTTCACACCATTGAATTTTCAAATTTCACTTTAAATATTTTATGTACATTTGAATGTTCTGCGTATAAGAGTTATCGCACTTGCATTATCCATATAAAGTTTTTGCGTGTTCAAATTACGAGAGGCATTAAAAAAATGAAAACATTAAGTAAATGCACAATGAAAATCGTGCGCGGTAAAATTCGGGACCCAGTCGTACAGATAGCGTCGCTTTTCAGTTCCTTTTAGGACCCTCTCAAAAGTACATGTGTGTTGGATAGCTTTAAATTATTTTAAGACGCCTCCACCCCACCACCTTTTCCCGTTTTTGGAAGCCCAATGTCTATATCTTCTTTTCTTTGTTTTAAATGTGTGTTACGTAGTTTACGGTTTCAGGCCACAAGAAGGTTTCATATATCATGTAATCAATAACGCAACATATTATGTATTCACTCTTGCCACATTAATCATTTTCATGATTCAGTTGCATTCTGTTGTGAATTTTTGATACAGATAATAAGTAGCGAAGCCCCCGGAAGCTCCTGGATTTTACATAAAATCTAAGTCATTTTCCTGCATAAGAAATCACACTTGATCTTTTTTTTCAGAAATTATTCGTAGTTAAGTTAATGCCTTCATGGATACTTCAAGAAGAAAACGATAATATACGGATGTATTTGTATCCGCTTTTATTTCAAACTTTCAATAAAAAAATACTAAACTTACATCAAATATTGGAAAAGAACAATGAAAGCATCAATAATGAAACTTATGATTTAATTCAAATGTGTAACAAATAATTCAGTACAAAACAATGAGTTGACAATTTACTGACTTTCTTTATTGTTAAACAAAAAGACAAGGCGTCTGCTTTTGCCCTGAGCAAATTCCTTCACAACAGCCTCGTAGTCAACAGGCATGTCCTTGTGGGCATGAAGCATAGCTAACGCTGATAATCGCTCTGTGGACATAGTTGATCGCATGTAACTTTTTACGCGTCTCATTACGCTAAAAGAGCGTTCTGCTGAAGCCGTAGAAACAGGCATGGAAATTAATACAGACAATACTGTGAATATATTTGGATAAAGATCAGGATTTACCGAATGGAGTGTATCTTGCAGAGATGAAGGCATGTTTTCTTCATCTTCTAATGACCATCTTGTGATCCACCTCTTTACCTCTGTGTGAAATACAGCCATTGAAACGGGTATGTCAGCTTTAAAAGCTTCATACAGGGCATTAACTCTGTTGTCAGTGAGCTGTCCAAGGTTGGAAGGTATAAGGTACTGAGCTATGAACCTCTCGCTGCATCCAAGAAGACGATCATCAAGCTCCTGCAATACATGGTCATAAAAAGGAAAGAAGACAGATCTTTTCCAATAAACATCTATCGAGTTTGCAGGAGTGTTAGCACGAAGTGTTTGACGATGAGCACATCTAGGAGATGAAGGTTCTACATCAATTGTAGCAGCAAAGTCCACAGCCGATGCATACAAGGCATCCCACACCATGTCGTCATTACGCTCGTTTTGAATGACTGCATAGACTGCCTTTGTCTCCTTCATTGCCTCAATAAGATCAGAGTCCTTGGCCTGAAGCAATTCTGACAGGGGTGCTAGTATTTGTAAAACATGCTCGCAGACAACTAGAGGGAGAATGAAATCAAATCTCTCAATGGAACATACATATGTACGAGCCTTTGCATCCGACATTTCGTTTGCTAATCGATGGAGAGTGTCATCGATAACTTCAAGAGATGCTTTAAATGTAAACAATGCATTGGCTCTCGAAGACCATCTTGTCTCGCACAGAGTCTGTAGTTTCTGTTTTTTCTCCATCGAAGTTTTGCTGCATTGTTCTCTTTCAGCTCCTCCTTAAACACGTTGATACGTTTGGCAGAATACTGAAACGCAAAAGCAATTTGCTGTACGATATCCATCATGTTTCTGATTAAGGGTATTTTACATGCATGGGTTATGACGAGATTTAGGCAATGAACCTTGCAGTGTGTGTAAAGAGCCCCTGGAATAATTCCACTTATTCTAGCCTGCACTCCTTTTCTCACTCCTGACATGTTTGCGGCACCATCATATCCTTGACCCCTCATCTTATTCAGAGTTACCCCTAGTTGCGTCAGGTTATCTAGGAATGCGTTAGCCAATTCCTCGCCCGTTGTCCTCTTCACCTCTGAAAAACCGACAAACTCCTCTCTAACAATTCCCTTCCCTTTGTCGAAAAAACGAAGGACCATAGCCATCTGCTCCATAGTAGAAGCATCTGTTGCTTCATCAGCAATAAATCCAAAGTATGGTGATTTGTTGACATCAAGAATTATAGAGCCAGTTATTTGTTTACAGCACAGTGAAATGAGCTCGTTCTGAATGTCTGGTGAAGTGTACTTAGCTCTTGGGTCAGCATTCTGTAAATGATAGCTTAAAGCTTTGTCTGTTTGGGCTGTGTGGCGAAGAATTGCCATGAAATTGCTATCATCTTCTGTGTGGCCACGCAGTGCAATATTCTGTTGAGCACACAATACAATAACATCAATTATTATATGATTGAAAAAATTCCATTTCTCTGATTGGCTGAGATCCAACTATGTTAGAAAAATATTACGTTGTATTCACCTGCACGTGACGTTCCAGGTCAATACAAGGATTTATTTCCTCTACATTGATCTAAAAATAGATTGGGAAATTTCAAATTGATACAAATTGTTTTGGAAAGCTATTTAAACGACTATGATTTTTATTTTCATGTGAACAAAACATAAGCGAATATATATATTTTAGTTGTGGGTGGTAAAAGGGGTTGCAGGACCCCCCCCCCCCCCCCCTCCAACACTTTTACTGAACAAAAATTTTGTTTTACTTTTTGGCAGTCAGTTTTCCCTGATAATACTCCATCCTTTCAAAATTTATCCTATATAAAAAAGACTGACAATATATATTACTTTCATGGCAACTAAAATTGATTTAAAAAAAACATTTTAAATTGATACGATTGGTAAGGCTTATTTAAATTTTAATTCTGCTTCTCTCTCGTATTTGGCTAGGACTTAATAAAAAGCAAACAAGTACATGTAATGAGCTGTATCATTGTATCAGTGAATCATATAATAAAACAATTATTGCTGTTTTTTCGGTCAATACAATGATTTAGCCATCTTCAAAGTACAATATTCACCTCGCCCTTCGGGCTCGGTGAATATTGTACTCCTCAGATGGCTAAATCATTGTATTGACCTCAAAAACCAGCAATAATTGTATATAATTCTTTTGAGAACATGTATATTTTTTTCGACAATCGCATCATTTTTACTCAAAATTAAACCCTGTGGATCTCTTCCTGGATTTTGCAGAGTTAAAAGAAAATGCTCAGCCGCATCAACACATCCGTGGTGTTTCGAAGATGGCGCGAGATGTCTAGAAACATATTTTGAAAAGTTCGACCAATCTCGAATAGGAGTGGAGATGAAAGATTTTTCTTTTACTTCAGATCTTCTCACACCAAACAGTACACAATAAACACAAAATACCCCATCGCACGAAACACTGTATCGCAGCCAGGGGTTCTCTTTAACCCATGTTGCATTGAACTTCCTCTTGTTTGCACTGAAAAAAAATTCCCAGTCTAACAAGATACGGCAGAGAAATAATTTAAATATAGTTATCCATGGGAGTTGAAATTTTAGATTATAAACGGTGGGGGGAGGGGGTGTTTACTTTTATATTCCGATAGCTTAAAGAAGGTGAGAATGCTTTTAAAATTAATAAATAATAAATCTTAAAATTGGCAACACCAGTAAAAAAAAATATTCATGCATGATCTATATTATCTTTTAATTTGTAAATTTAAATTTTACCATTTAAAATTTTTTTCATTAAACATTTTTATTTCATTACCTCAATGGAAATTGAAATTCTTGTATGGTTGTCCCTGAACCTTCCAGTAACTTTTTCTTTATATCAGTGTCCCTAAGATCACTTTCTTTCAATAAATGTATGTCCGGATAATCGGGATTAATACAAGTTGAACATTTTGTTTCATCAAATTTTTCTTCGAGATTTTTGGAAGGTGTTTTTGGATTTTGTTTTAGAAAAGACTTTAAATTCGACTGTATAGACATTCTGAACAAAATTTGAATCGGAAATATAAGATGCAAAATAATTTGAAACACGGATAGTGCTGCATGGTAAATTCTTTTTTCTCCGAATAAATGCCTTTCTTTCTTTTTCTTTAAGTCAATCTGTCACCTTTCTTTCTTTGTTTTTTCATTCATTCATTTATTTTTTTTTATTTACATGATTTTTTTTTTTTGGAAAATGATGTGTACGCACTTGCGTACTTGCGTATAGGCAGCTACGCGCCTGTACATAATTAATTACAAGTATGTTCTATAATTAAAGTCACATTAGTAGCAAAGTGCAACATACCTAAGTGTGTTGTTGTTTATGAAAATGGAGAGTGAAGGCAGTTTCTCAAATTCTGCAATAGTACAAAAATTGTGAGTTGGGTTCACGACAGTACACGGAAAGGTTAGAGAATGGGAAGTAATACGGATTAGTTATTTTATCAAAATGAATGGATGTTTACAGAAGCGGAAAAAAGAGATCATGACATTATAAGAGACGTAAATTACGCTTGCTTTCGTACGCTTATGTACACTTGAATGCTTACTTACTCGTTCCTTCATTTTCTTATTAAATGTGATATCATCATGAAACTTGAAAGGCATAATTATAAAATGTTGCTTTTTACCATGACAAGAAAAGAAATTTAATTGAGCAAAGAGAAATTTCCCTGGAAAAGGAATTTTTGATTAAGAGGTCATTACTTAGCGGTCATAAATGATAATGACCGGGTCATTATATCCCACGTGCAATGATTCCTAGGTCATAATTGCTGTGAAAAGTACCATTTGGAGTCATTGTTGTGTTTAAAAGTTTTCTTACCAGCCAATCAAATTCAAGTATTATCAAAAGAGGTATAATAAATAAATATAAAATAGTATTTTACAGTCATAATAGATTTATACTGTTCATTCACGCTTTCCTTGTATGTTACAATGTTTGGATTTATATCGATTAACATCACACATTCGGTCTTTTATCCCAATCAGCAGATAAATATACTATTTTGATTGGTCGACGCGCTGATTGGTTAATCGCTAATCCTGATTGACAGCTCATGAAAGAAATACCGAACGCGTGTTCGCTTTCTGGGACTACTAATGCATTTTGGGTTCAGTCTCTGTGTCCGGTCTGGGTCCGCTTCGGGTTCGCTCGGGGTCCGCTCGGAGTCAGCCTTAGCGGAACCGGAGCAAACCCGAAGCGGACCCAGAGAGCTAACCCGGGGTTCGCTCCTTGAACTTGAAATTCAACCCACGATCAATACAAACTCTTTTATCCCTTTGCTTTAATTCTTCCAAACTGTTTGCTCGTACGTTGTTGCTGTGCAAACAACTCACAATGAAATACTATATTGCAAAGCTAACTTCTCAGTTACGTTAAGATGTGTATATAGATACAGAAATATCGAAAACAAATTATGTGGAGATTACGAAGAGAGATCGTGTTCAGAAGTCCAGTAAGAAGAATAATCAAAATCACGGACCTCCAACATGTCAGAGAAGGGATCAGGTGCCATAAAAGAGTGAGCATCCCTTGCGGACTAGTCATTACCGCCTTGTGCTTAAACATATACTTGTTCTCTTTACCTCCAGATGTGTTTACAATTAATCAAGTCGCCCACATGGCGCAGTAGTTAAAACGTCTGCGATATAGTCAGAAAGTAAGGAGATGTTCCGTACGTCGCCGGTTCGAATTCCACGCTGAGTCTTTGAGACTGGCCCTTCGAATGAGACCGTAGAAACCAAGGTCCCGAATCGCAGTAGGTGCTGGAACTAAAAAGACCTCTCCCTGCTCAATGGCCCTGAGTGCCAAGAGCTGGACCAACATTGCAGCTCTCCACCGGCAAGTGGTGGTGTCTCCATATGAGTAAAAAAAATCTCGAGAGAAACATTAAACAACATTTAATCAATCTATCAATTAATCAATAAATGGAAGAATTTATGTCCATTTTCAATTAATAGAAATTAAATTGATGGCACCCCCCTCAAAAAATGAATAGGTTAAAATTTTCTTTGGTCTAGTAACCTAAAATAAAGTTAATTTAAATATCACATTTCAAATCAGTGAATGATAGTAATGTATTTTACGCTGTTCATATTTTGAAATATTAAGAAAAAAAGTCCACCTCGGTATATTTAAAAGGTTTCTAAGACATGTTCAAATATGAAGTAACGGGGCTCAAAATAAACGATGTGTGGACTACTCAATTTAATAGCTCCCTTTGACAATTAAATTTTTACTGTAATTAAATGTTACATATTGATATTAATGGTCTATCTAAGACCTATAAACCACTATACAACTACTAGAAATAATATCACTTAAAAAAATATTTGATTCGCCTCTCACTGCACATAAAATGCTGCTTATGCGTCATGTTTTACCGAGGTGATATCATGATGACAAGTGAAGTGACTATGTGTAAAAATAGTAATCAAGAAATATATACATGTATCATTTTAAAATTTTTATTTGGATCTCTACACGAATTGATCATGTGATGAAAACCCACAAAGCCCGTCAACTACTTATGAAGACACTGTGAAATAGAGTCAATCATTTATAAAAATGATTGATTGATTGTGTACTGTTTAACGTCTCTCTCCAGAATATTTCACTGATATGGAGACGTCACCATTGCCGGTGAAGGGCTGCAAATTTATGTCTATGCTCGGCACTTATGGCCTATGGGCAGGGAGGGATCTCTATAGTGCCATACCTGCTGTGACACGGGGCCTCGGTTTATACAGTCTCATCCGAAGGACTGCCCCATTTAGTCGCCTTTTACGACAAGCAAGGGGGTACGGAGGACCTATTCAAACCCGGATCCCCACGGGGCTTTATAAAAATGGACAAAGAAATAAAGAACACTTGAACAATCTACTTTTACAACGAGTTGAAAACACCTTGCTTAAACAGTTTTATATAAGAGAAAGCATGCACAAATGTAAATATATAAAATCAAAGTATGGTATAATACATGTATATCCCCTAGATAGTGTACTTAGATTTAATGTCGAGCTTACTCTACAAACTGTTTATACAATAAAACAATGCACATATTACAATACCTACAAAGACTGGGATATTACGTATTCCTCTTTGAGGTTGACAGGGCTAACATTTTCTTTAAAACATTTGTTTTGCAGACATAGTTATATTTATTGTTGCAAGGCGCATCGTTCATTCCCTTATTTTGTATCCAGTACGTGGCACAGTGCTCTCTTCCACCTAAGTTATCTGGTTGTCCTCTTACCCAATGACTATAACGCAGTCCCTCTGCATTAGAAACAGATAAAAACCTTCCTTCATGCTGAACATCGCTCGCCCCGAGCCATACCTGTCTATTTGCTGGATAACCTATAGAATTATAACCAAAACTTCTTATTTCGAAAATTAAGATTAGCATTTTGCATGATTTTTGTTTTTTCAATACAATTTTTGTTTTAAATGTCTAAAAAAAAAATTTATATATCTAGCAAAATCAGGATAATTATTATGAGTTAAACATTAAAAATTCGTTAGTATAAAAAGGGAAGCGAGTTTGATCCAATATAGTTTACAGGCGTTAAATTGTACCTCTTATCCTGAACTGAAGATCAAGCCATTTTTCTTCTTCTGCATTTTGAAGAAGTATCATTTCTGCATCAAATCGGTGACACGCTCCCTTAAAGAAAAAATATAAATACTGGTATAGTGTATGGTATGTATTTAGTACAAATATATTAAGATTATGCTAATAATGATAAAATAAATGAAAAAAATGAAAAGTTTTTTGGGGAATTCAGGTTTGTTTTGAGTTATACAGAATGTTTTGAGACTCTTTTACTGAAATATAAAGTAGCTTGATTATCTAAGCCAATTTTGACATTAAGAAACATTAAAGAAGGTTTGCTAGTTAAATTCTACAAAATATTCGTTGAAAATAGAGGTTTCGGGTAAATCTATAATCAAAGTCTTATCATAGGTTTCTTCTGAGAGGAGAGAAAAAAATGTTTTAAACTGAACTGTTTTATTTAAGGAACGATAAGAATGTAATTTCTTTGTCTTACCATAGCATCTAGAAAAGAAGCTGTGGATGTTGAAAAATAATAGCAATCTCCTTGGTAATTGACCCATTCTTTTTCGCATGATCTTATGTCATCTAAAAAAGATGTTGATTGTCATTGTTTAAATACATAGAAGGGGTATATGAATTAAGTGAAATTGTTGTACATATAATTAGCATTTTTATTCTTATCATTTTAGTGTCAAATTTTAACATCTCAATAAAAATCTTGTATTCAGAAAAATGTATGTAAAAATAAGTTTAAATTATGCTTAGATGATTTAATTGTCAGTTTTAAATACAAAAAGTTATCATAATATTCTTGATATCCGTGCGATGAAGTTTACATTTTGTACAATTTTCAATAGTTCATTAAAAGGTCGTTTAAGTCTTCAATCTACTGTAACGCATTTTCTTAAATTGTGGAGTTTATCAAATTTAATGACTACCTACGAAACATGCACATAATGATTATATGATTTGTATAATGCAGAGAGAGAGAGAGAGAGAGAGAGAGAGAGAGAGAGAGAGATTTACCTTTTTCAATGGTTTGTGATTTACTTTTGTTTAGTTCCTGATAAATATTGGTACTGTTTTCCTTGAGGGATGCCACTGTTGTTTCCATGGACGCCATGCTCCGCTTCAGAGAATTCATGTCGTTCGCCATGGCCTTGACCTCCTTGACCAAGGTCAAACGAATGATGGTCTCCTGATTGATGATCTGCCTGAGAACATCGATCTCCTTAATTGCCTGTTTGTCCTCAATTAAATTTGTTGAGTTCTGATCGTAAAAACCAGTTAGCAAGGAAGCTGACTTCGTCTTGTATATCGTAATTAAAATCGTGAAAAGAATGAGAAGCTTCATCCTTTGTTTTAAGACGGCAAATGACTGGAAGAAGAAAATATTATGCCTCTCTCGGTGATAAAACGTTTTATTTATGTGTTGTGATTAAGTTTTAATCTATGGACGTTTTTCCGAAAATCATACTTAGTTAACAATATAACGCTTGAAAGCACTTAAAGTTTTAAAAGCAAAATAAACTAATTACAACTGAAGGAGGTTAAAGTATAATAAGAATTATGCAAGTGAATTGTTCTTTTTAAGCTGCATTCTTAAATAAGGATATGGCAATGAAGAAAGAAACACAAAAGCAAGTAATTATGTAAAGGTTACATAAACATAAGCAGACACTTGTTGAACACAAAAGATTTAAAAGTGGTCTTATGAATACACTTATTTAAACACCTAGACGGATATATGACACGTAAGCTTACGTAGAATGAAATATATAGAGATGTCAAAGAGTTAGAACTTAGAAAATATAGATTGTATTTTTTTTTTGTTCTACAATTAAATTTTTTCAAATGATTTGAGCAATCCTTGTCATATGATTCCACCTATAATAATATCAAGTACATGTAATTTTTCTTATCGTTGCAAAGTCGTTGCATAAATACTTGTATTACACATGTTTTTCGCATATTATGATTAAACATCTTGATGAAAATATTTTCAATGGTTATACTTTTGTCAAAGGATATCACATGAAAACGTACTTATATGATTAATTGAAGTCAGTCACTTCAAGGGAGAAACACGATCACTTGAAATTCAATATATGATCAATACGTTAACTTCCCTCCCTTTAATAAAACTATTCACAACTGTGTGTCCATAGTTACTGCACAAACAAATTTCACATCAATGCTACACTGCGTATCTAAAATCTCCGTAACGTCGATTTGTCTATGTAGGTACAGAAAAAAGGAAACCGTTCGTTTTACCTTTCAATATTTTAGTACTAATCAACAAATAGAAAAACATTGGCCTTATTTTCAATTACAGTTCAAAAAACTTATTACTGGCACATGTCAAAAAATAATTAGATTTTGTTTTTTTTTTTCTGTTTTAAAAGGTGTTTTAACTTACTAGTAGGAATGAATAATAAACCATTTAATTTCTTTAATCAAAACATCATTTCACCTCTGCTTTGTTAAAAGTGTCTTGATAGGAGTACTGAAAAAAATGAAAGGGAATGCTAAAACAGCTTGTATATATGAAGGGCCAAATGCATATTAAATAGTGTACAAATATGAAAATAAAACTGCCTTGGGGTTTGAAAATTTAAAATGATTCAACTTTTAGCTTGTCTACAGTACATCGTTGAACTTACAATTGCAATAACTATTCTCGTATACAATATTTTCTGAAAATAATTGAGTAAATCCAAAGACTTTCATTACCTGACTTCTTGGTTATGACAAAAATAATATACCAGGTACACTCTTTGTAATTATATAATTTTACTCCTCAGTTCTATATATTCTAGTGCAATATATGTCTCCTTTAAAATATGAAACTCCTCTTTCCACAAATCTTGAAATATTAGACACGTAAAATTATTTCTTAGGAATATAGATTCAAAAAATATATAGGATAAATGTATTTCGATTAAAATGTTGTTTTAGCATCATCTACTTTTAAACCATTGTAAATAAAAAAAAATGTCTGTATGTTGTTGTAAGTGAAAATGGACTTTGTTATTTAAAATAGAACACTGAAGCAAAAATTTATAATCTAGTACAGAATAAACAGAACCAAAAAATTGCATCTAGATCATTCTCTTAAAATTTAGACTGACTACTTTTCTTAGTATGCATGTTCTTCCTGAAATCATTTTTTTCTATTGGTATGTAGACGAATTCTTTTCATGTTGTTGATATGAGTGCCATGTTTACTTTTATTGGATACATCCTTTATTGGCACAGTGGATACGAAAAACAAGGAGCAAATCCTCTTTTTTCCAGTCTTAATTCTTTTATTTTTTTTTTGTTGAATTTGAAGTTGGCCCGATGATGAGACCATATACACCGAAAATAATACAAACCTTTAATGCCAATTAAGCCATTTTTTTGTGGCCTGTATGACAAGTTATGTATCTAAATACATGTACATATTTTTCTGCCCCAGTTTTTACAGCAACAGGAACATTAAAAATGTTTTGGGATTATAAATGGAATTTCAGGGTTTAAGAAAAACCCCACAATTATTTCTTTTACATAGATAACGCTGTACAATAACGTAAGCAACATTTAACTGTAAATATTCAAAGCTAATTGATATTTCTATAAAATCAAAAAAAAAAAAAATGTGGAAAAAAAGTTGTGACGGTCTTGTGGTAAAATAAATAGTCGTATGCTGTGTTTTTATTTTGTGTGTAAGAAATTGTTGAGTAGTTAAGTACATACGATATGTATATATGACATTTACATCTTGTAATCGAGTGTCTCAAAAGCAAAGATAATTTAACACTATCGAATATAAATGATTTAACAGCAATTGATGAATACCTAGAATTAATAAATACATGGATTTATTAAACTGGTGCAAATCGGTACGTACATTACTTCAGAAATAGCAGAAAGGAATTGTCTACTTTGATATTTTACGAGGGAGATTGATTCAAGAAAAAACAAGCTGCTGTTTGTTTCTAAAATGAATACAAAACAAGTTACAGAAAGCGCAAGATAAGCAATTGAAGTCATCGAAGATTTTCGAAAAACAAAACAAATATTGCACGTGAAAAGAGCACATCCTTTATACAATACTTAAAATAAAAGTAGAAATAACGTTCAAGGAGATTACATGGTTTTTTTTAATGTCATGCACTTTAAATTCCACATAAATGAAAATGACAATGAATGATACTTTCTTCAGATAAAAGATGACATTCAAAGTGGGTCATTTGATTTTGTGTAAACAAAACACTAGAAGATCAAAAGGCTCTTTGACTTAAATGCATGTATCCTCTTACAATGTGTACACAGTACAATTACATTGTAAAATGCAGATATTGGAATTTAAAAAAGATAATAAATTACGCTTTTGAAAAAGGATGAGAGATAATTTTTAGAACAATACTACTACATGTCTGTTGAGAATATTTTATAGATTAAAAACCATGTTGAGGGCGACTAAATTTTCTGTTAAGACTTTTTATTTTACATGAGGACACGTGACTAAAGCAAACATATATTCACTATGCAATTCATTTATAAATTGCATATCAAATGGGTACATCAAAATTTAAATAAAATCTAATTTTCAATTTCGAATGTATTTAACAGTTTTTTGTATTATGTAGAGGTGCTAACATGTTTGAGTTGACCAACTCCATAAGTACAGCTAAGTATTTTAAACACATTAAGTTATAGTTATAAACTGACAAATATAAGGCGATAAAATTTACGTTATGATACTATGCACCAGTATATTGTTTGATAATTCGTGATTTTAAGAGACACACAAAAAAAATTTAAAGAAAGTACAGAAAAGATGATTTAAAAAGAGGAAATCAGCATCAATTAGCATTATCAGCAATGGAGGGGGGAAGCCATAAAAAAAATTCACATTTGTTGTGGTTATTTTTCTTATTTTTCAAACATTAATTATATCTTCCTAGGGTAAGGTATCATTTTTTAAGGAAAATAATGATATTTTTTACTTTTTTTCAATTTGATTTTGTGGGAGAGGGATATGGAGATAACGTATAGTATTCAATGTCAAAGTCCATAAAACAATAAAAATAGGAGCAGAGCAAACACGAACATCCGCAACATCTGAGGTAGGAAAAGGTATCATGGAGGAGTGAGCATCCCCTATTGACCGGACACCCCAACCGTGTACTCTTTGTCATGATAGGGAAATGACGGAAAAAATCCAAACCCGTCGTCAATTCAGTGTATCAATAATGGACTAACAATTTGTATGAAAAACGTCAAATGGCTGTGTCTTTAAGGTTTTTTTGCACTAGCTATAGAAAAGCCCTAGAAAAATTTCCTTTTCAGTTTCGGGCACAAAGAGATTGGGGTGGATTTTGCAATATGTTTATCATAGCAAAAATTGTATTAAAATAAGATTGTAACAGATTTTTGTGTATTTGCTCTATTCGGCAGAGAGAAATAACAGATGCAAGCTCTGTGGATAATAGCAATTATAGGTGCTGATGACTACTAGGAGTTGAACTTTTAAGGTGGAAGGTTCTTAAATACAACTCATTGGAATGTGGTTGTTTACTTATTTTTCAAAAGATGTATTCGGTTAGGGTGAAGGAACAACTAAAAGTATTGAAGAAACCAAGGTCAGATGTTAATATTAAATAATATTCAAAGTTTATGAAATAGATTGGAAATTATTTTGAAAATGCATTAGAAATTTTAAAAGTACTCATAGTCAATATTATAGTAATTAAAATTCAAATTCAAATTCAAATTAGTTATTGCAAATCTTTAAAGACTAACAAGTATGAGGATGAACGACTTTAGGCATAAAATAGGTGGTCGGCAGACACGATTTCAGTGGAAAGCTGAATCGTGACTGTCGTGGTTGCATTTTTTACAGTTGATATAATTTTCTAGACTATAGCGCGTTTTTTTTTTCAAATTGTGACATTTTTCACATGGCTTTTCTTATTTATTAAGGTTACAATCTTTTATATATAGTTATTTATAACTAGAAAAGTTTAATATCATGTTTCGTATATCATATGAAAATATTTTTTGCATTTAGAAATATTACAAACGGATTTTCAATAAAGAGTGGAAAGCTTAAGGGTTTGCTTTTGTGTGCAGCCAAGTGAAACTCACTGAAAATAAATACCTAAATATCTTTAAAAATATGCCTTGCAAACACTTGAAAACTGGCCCATTTTATCTTCATAATGAAAACTATCTTTGGGTATATGCAGCTACATTGACACATGCAGTAGTTTGCAGCTATGAAGTGCACAATACACCTGCAGGGCTGCGCAGCCACAGGTTTTAGCAGTGCATTAAAAAATCCAAAAAAATATGAAATAGATAAATAAACAAAGTGGCTACAACTATTTGTTAAGAACCATTGTTTTAAATGTAAACTATCAGGAC